TGATGGTGTCAAAGTAACTAACGCCTTGCGCCACGCCGTCTAATCTTGCCCTGGTCTCTTGCGATCGTCTTGGCCCTGCCTAGCAGCTCTGGTGTCTTCCTTAGCCGGCCTAATTCCATTCCATAACCCGCTGCTCACCTCTGCGTTGCTTATTCTACCAAAGGGGCTTTCATCGTCTTACGGCCGTCTCAGCCCCTTTCCAAGAAGCTCACTTCCCACCTCTGAGATCATTTTCTCGTTAGGAAACTGCTTCTTCTTGGCGAGAACCGCATCTTCTGCGTCCATCGTCCTGAGCAAATCAGACACCTCACTGTCTGATGGCGTGCAATAGACCAGGTTGCCCAGAGCAAGCAACATGCCCTGCAAGGCCTCTGGCGACTTTTCTTCCTGGCCTATGGCCTCCAATACTGACGCTGCCAGCTCCACGGAGTCGCCTTCGGGTAAAACGTCGCCTGTCTTCTCTCGTCTTGCTTTGTTGCTAGCTAATGCCAGGTTGAACATCAAGGAGGATGCAGAAACACGGATGTTATTGTGACTGTCGTCCAGAAAGCTCGAAGATATCAACTGAATGATTGGCGCTCTGAGACCCTCGTTGCGAAGGATCTCTTCGGGGTAGAGTGGCGTGGAGAAAAAGTTGCACGCCATCTGCAGCGTCACAAGACGCAATGCGTAAGGGCAGTCGCTGTGAGAGTTGACAAAGTTCAAAATGGCTAGGACTGTCTGGTGATCCTTCTCCTCGGCAAAGTAGCCGCTGAATCTTGCGTCGACTAGAGCGCATCTGAGAAGATCAACCACGGGGAAGAGTACCTCAGTCGGCAGTGAATGAATGGACTTCCTCAGGAACTCTGCAAACTGGCTCAGATTTGGCAGAGTCGCAGCTGCTGGGCCTTGCTTGTCACGGGCTTCAATAAATTGCTTGACTCCTTGCACAGCAGGATCCGTTGCTGTTGCTCCCATCTTTGCGAGTAGCTTCTCCAAAGGTGGTACTTTGGAGTAAAGCACTGGCCGCCCATTCGGGTTGGAAAAGCTCGGTAGGTTTAGGGACTCGTGGGGATGACGGGGGAAAGCCATTTGCAACAAGAGTTGGATGTTGCCCCGAAGCGCAGCCGGGTCTGCCCCTGCCCACTCATTCTCCTTCTCTCCGTGCAGGTAAGTGACAAAAGTCGGCGTCGCTCGTGGGTAGTTCTTCTCCGGCAAAGGAGTTAGCTTGGCTACATCAACCTTGATGAAAACTGCCTTGTTACCGGCTTCCGCTGAGAGCTCGTCAAAGGTTGGGGCGATGGCCCTACAAGGAGGACATGTTGCCGAGGTGAAGAGGACAACCGCACAGGTCTTCTTTGCAGACTCGAGAGCAGCGTCGAGCTCCTGCGAACTGTTGACTACCCTGACGTTGGCTTGGGGCCTGGTTGGTTGCGGTGCTGAGCTGTGTCCATTGGCGGTGTTGCCATTCTGAATGCCAAGAATCGAACCGTTTTGCCTGTTTGAAGTCATGGCCTGAGTCAGTTGGGGCATGAGCATTCTCCCAAACGGCGAGCTGAGAACGGCATCCGGCATTTTGATAATGTGCTCGGGAATGCCTTTTCCAAGCAGAAACTGGGCGAAGGAATCCGAGAAGTTGTTGCAGTTGTGCCTCCACAAGTCATAGGCCTGTGGACGAGTTAGAGGGAATTTGCATCAGGTTTCCGCGCTGCACACTTGCCTCAATTGTAAATATTGGCCTGAGAGAGTCCAGAAACTCTTCAATCACCTCCATTGGCAGTTCTGTGCGGCCAAGGAAAATTCGTTCCATCGGCTGGCCCAGGTGAGAGGTCCCTGGAGTGATGTCGACGATGCCGCCATCGTAAACGTATTCTCGACCATTGAGCTGGATTGAGGTGTGGTAGATTGCATCAAGGTGGAATCCTAGCATGCCCTGGGACATTTGCCGGGCAAGTCCTCTGGACAGGTCGTACGTCAAGAGATGCACGTCCATGTCGGTGATAGGTGCAAGTCAAAAGCAAGGGGCAACTGTGTCTTGGTGGATACGAAGTGGAAGGAGGCTAGGCTGTTGGTAGAGCTGAGGAAATTGAGTTGATGGGAATCAGACAGTTGCCGCACAGTCTAGAGAGCTGGCCTTGCGATAAAGTCTTTTGACGCTAAAATTACACTCTTGTAACGGGAGGCAACAGAGCATTCGTAGTCATGAACGAGAAGCTTCCAAGTCTTAGTCGGATCCGGTAAGACGGGCGCCACGTGTGGCTTGACCAGATGTCCTCGGCGTCTTATCGCACGACCCATGAAAGTGCTTACCTAACAGCGCTCAACCCTCCCCATGCCATGAATGGAGACAACAGGCCCCGGCGGAGTTTATCAGTGGGAGACGATGGAAGTCGGGGGGCGAGGAGGTGGCACAGGGCAATTAGGGGCACCTCAGCAGGGAATGATAGGCCCCACCCCCTGAGCGCGGAGCCATTAAGAGTGACGCGAGATGGTCGTTGCAGCACTTTAGTGGCTTCGCGTCGTCCCCGCTGCCGCACCCAAGATTAGCAAACTGTCAGATTTAGCAGGGATTCTCTTGATTTTTTGATGACTTCCAAGCAAACCACACCTAACGAAAATCTGCTCGAGGCCACAGTACGGAGTACTGACTGCGAGAGGAGTACCGACGTACTTTTTAGCTACCTAGGTAATTTACTATCTTGCATCCATCCCCCCTTGAAGCCCCCTACATATACGAAACTTCGTACTCGACACATCCATCTTCGTCCATCTGTTGGTGTTGTACGACCGTCCCGTCCGCTCATTTTTCCTTCGGCCGCACGCACCTGCTGCTTTTTGCCTTCGAGTCGCCGTGCTCCCTTCGACATCGGTCCACGGTTTGGTTCAGTCCACTCCTTTGTCCTCCTACACAACGGCGACGTGCCTCGCATGCGTCCCCTTGTGTTCCTCTAAGCCACCCTTCTTGCCTCCGACGACACGCGACCAATGCGAAGAACATCTGTGTCGCTGCCGACCAAGCAACCCGCCCGAGATCCTCACGAGAAACCCGGTCGATTTGCACCCGCTCGAAAAACTGGTCTGTTTGCCAGCTTAGGAGATATGTCCCAAGCACAGAAGACCCGCTGGATGCGGACGGGCGCCATCGCCTTCTTCGTCGTCTTTCTCTTCTGGTACCTGTCTCCTAGAGGAGTCAATGTTCGCAGTCCTGGAGGTGCGCGATGCTTAAACTCCTGCGACAGAGCGATGCTAACACCTATCTTGCAGTCTCGACCGGTGGCGGTGGCCAAGTCCCGGCTGATGCCTCTTACGGCACTGAAAAGTGCTCTGTCTCCAGCTCCAAGTCGAAGCCCATTGTCCAATATGTCCTGATGATCGACGCCGGCAGCACGGGATCCCGAATCCACGTCTACAAGTTCAACAACTGCGGCGCTACTCCCGAGCTCGAGCATGAGGAGTTCAAGATGACTGAGAAGTCTGTCGGCGGCCTGAGCAAGTATAAGGATGATCCCGAGGCCGCGGCCAAGACTCTCGATGCCTTGATGGAGGTTGCCATGCAGACCGTCCCCGACAAGCTCAAGTCCTGCAGCCCTGTCGCAGTGAAGGCGACTGCTGGTCTCCGTATGGTCGGCCCTGAGAACGCTCAAAAGATTCTCGACACCGTTCGCAACCACCTCGAGACCAAGTACCCCTTCCCCGTTGTTGGAAAGGAGGACAACGGTGTTGCCATCATGGATGGTGCCGATGAGGGTGTCTACGCCTGGATCACCACCAACTACCTTCTGGGCAAGATTGGCGGTCCCGACAAGAGCCCCACCGCTGCCGTCTTTGATCTCGGCGGTGGCTCGACTCAGATTGTGTTCGAGCCCACCTTTAAGGGAGCACCGGAGGGCGGTATGCCTGAGAAGCTTGCTGAGGGCGACCACAAGTACGACCTCAAGTTCGGCGGACAGCAGTTCGAGCTGTACCAGCACTCCCATCTTGGATACGGCCTGATGAGCGCCCGTAAGGCCGTTCACAAGACCTTGGTCAACGAGATGTTTGAGAGCAAGAAGACCGATGACAGCTGGGTCAAGCAGCCCATTGTTCACCCCTGCATTGCTCCCGGCATGGTCAAGGAGGTTGAGGTTGAGCTGGACGAGGGACACCCTCTTGGCAAGGCCGTCACCTTCAACTTCACCGGTCCTTCCCAAGCCGCCCCCGCGCAGTGCCGCAACCTCGCCGAGAAGATCCTCAAGAAGGAAGAGTCCTGCAAGCTCGCTCCTTGCTCCTTCAACGGCGTCCACCAGCCTACCCTTGCCAAGACCTTCGCTCGCGAGGATGTCTACATCTTCTCCTACTTCTACGACCGCACCAAGCCTCTCGGTATGCCTGACTCTTTCACTCTTCGCGAGATGCACGATCTGGCCAACTCCGTTTGTGGCGGCGAGAAGGCCTGGGATGTGTTCTCCAGCGTCCCTGGCGCTCTCAAGGAGCTCCAGGACCGCCCCGAGCATTGCCTCGACCTTAACTTCATGATGGCCCTCCTCCACACTGGCTACGAGATGCCTATTGACCGTGAGGTCAAGATCGCCAAGAAGATCAAGGGCAACGAATTGGGTTGGTGCCTTGGTGCTAGGTAAGTGACTTCTATCTACAAGTAACAGGCATTGCAGACGCTAATACTTTATTTTATAGCTTGCCCCTCCTTTCTCCCGGCTCAGGCTGGAAGTGCAGAGTTGACCAGGTCAACTAAAGCCTCAAATTCTCGCACAACAGGACTGCACAAGCCTCCCCTGGTGTTGGCTGGCTTGTAGCATTATAGATTTTTAATTCCACGACAGAACCGGGAATGTTCGATTACGAGTTGTACAGGAGTGTCATGAAGGTCATATGGCGGGTGCAGGAACATGCATCAATACACAGACCCAAAAGGCGGGCGTTTCATGTCTTGTATGGTTTCCATGGGCATTAAGGATTATGGGCTTGTTCGGACGTGACCACTTTAGAATAAAGTCGCTCACTGGATATCTTTTAAGCTCCCATCAAAGCGGTGCCGCAACCATGCCCAGCACGTCCTCAATCACGTCCTCGGGGCCCACGCCTTCGAGAATGGATTCAATGGCTTCCAGCTGGCTTCCCCACTGCATACTGCGTTCCTGTCGCGGATGCGCTATGCGTATTCGGTGCAAGTAGACTTTCCTAACGGCCAGATGAACCAATGCGGGTGTGACAAAATCGAGCCGGTGTAGCGGAGCCAGGCATTTAAGCAACTGCTCCAAGTGCTTCGTCGCGGTCGGCTCGATGCCGCCGGCAACTGCGCGATGCATTCGTAGGTATGAGACTACATTCATTAGGTAGCGCAAGACATCAACATCGATCTGGACATCTCGACTGCTCTTGGCGATGGCCGCAACATCCTGCAGCCGTCAGCATATGCCCAGGCACTTTGCACACGTAGAAACTTACGCCTTCACGGAAAAGAGGGTTTTCGCTGACTGCGGGCAAATCACCGTTGATGCTTTTCTTGAGCACGCTCTCGGTACTCGCCGTCTCGGCCCCATCAGCAGCGTCGTACGCGTCGTCGAGATTGGGGAAACCGTCGTCCGGATCATGCCAGTGAGCAATGAAGAGGTAGTCGTTCAGGTGAAGCGTGACGTGAGCCTGACCACCGCTTTCGGCGCCCAGGGCGGCGATGAACAGAAACTGCTTCGGGGCCGTCTGGACGGAAGTGCGTGTGAAGATACGGCGGGTGCGGAGGAGCTCAAGAACCTGGATCTGAACGGCTCTTGGGGCGCGGTCAAGGTTCCGAGCTACAATCACATTGGCGATGGAGGAGCCACCGATGCCCTGGCCGGTCGGGCTGGTTGCCGTGACGGAGGTCAGGGGGGAGATGCCCGCGCGAGAAAAGTAGGAATCATTGCGGGTTCGTAAAGGCGAGCCTGATCTGGGTGCTGCTAGAGACTGCTGCGTGAGGATCGACGATGCAAAGTCCTCCAGTGAGGTTTGCGGAGTACAATCCACTACGGCGCATTTCAGACCGAAGGTCTTTGTTGCGATCTAAAACAGTGTGAGATGTGGACCTTGTGAGTGGGAGAGAGATGGATGGTTGGGCTCACCAGCTGTAGCTCCTCGACAAGCTCGTCGAGGGCAGCGGGAGGCGTGCTAACGATGCAGTGTTCTCGATTGACCAGGCACAGCAGGGCGGCCAGCTCCAAGTCGCTCAGGCCGTGGACCTTGTCCAGGAGGCCGTCTTCATCCGCCATGAGGATCTCGTCAAGTGTTGGTCGACAGTCCCATCAGCTCATCCTGGGCCACGCATATACTTGGTACACTTGCGGAGTGCTCGTCCACGATATACATGTGGTGTGAGGCGGTGACGGACGTTCTTCGCAAATCGCTAAGACGTCCCGGAGCTACTAAAGGGAAGCTCAGTCGCATGGACCGTCACTGAGAACCATGATAAAGGTGTGGCGTAGGCGTCATGCGGCCCGGCTAGGTGCCTTACCTAAGCGCCGTGCCCAAGTCATTCAATGCACCTTACCGGCCAACCACCTGGGCAGCCAACAGTGAGTGTCACAGCATGTCTAGGCGGGCTCCAGCGCCTTGGAGCACCGTCACTTGGCGTTCCTCCAGGTGCCTGCCCGCCATTTACGTCAGCCAGCTGGCACATCAACAGCACCATGTGCTCCTTTTCCTGGTTAGACCCAGTCCTCCAAGCAGCTCTTTGATAGGCTGAAACCTGCAAATGTGACGGGAGCTCTCAGTACCGCCTGCTTCCCTGTCAACCTCCACCATCACTTCCGTCTATCGATCATCGACCTGCACTCTACACCAACCAACCACCCCTGACGCACGACACCGATCCGTTTTCGACCACTTCGACATTCGAACCGATTCCTGACCCAGTCGCGACGCAGGATACAACTACCATCGCGCATCCGAAGGCCCGCCGACGCCCGACTTTTCCATTTACCATACATAGCGGACCCGACGCACCAGATCCACGATGTCATCGAGAAAGAAGGTCCTTCTCAAGGTGGGCTTTATCGGCGGCCCCAAACACACGTGCGGCATAATTGATCGTTTCTGTGTTGCAGGTCATTATCCTTGGCGATAGCGGTGTCGGCAAGACGAGTTTGATGAACCAATATGTATGTTTTCTTGCTGCGCTGTCTGGCGGCCCGACCGGTGGTAGCCTAGAGTACTGATTTGGCTATTTCTACCTTTTAGGTCAACAAGAAGTTTAGTGCAAGCTACAAGGCCACGATCGGCGCCGACTTCCTGACCCGCGAGGTCCTCGTCGATGACCGGCAGGTGACGATGCAGGTGGGTGACGCCGCGAACACATCGCCGATGGAAATAACGAACGCGTTGCTGACGGACAATAGCTCTGGGACACTGCGGGACAGGAGCGCTTCCAGTCGCTGGGTGTCGCCTTCTACCGCGGAGCTGACTGCTGCGTACTCGTCTACGACGTCAACAACTCCAAGAGCTTTGATGCTCTGGACAGCTGGAGGGATGAGTTCCTGATCCAGGCCTCTCCCCGTGACCCCGACAATTTCCCATTCGTCAGTATCTTGAAGTGCTAGAGGGATAGGACATAGACGCTGATAAAAGATTTAGGTCGTCCTTGGAAACAAGATTGATGTTGAGGAGAGCAAGAGAGTTGTAAGTTTTGGTGTCACCTGCGGCTACCCGACGACAAGCTTACCCTTTGATTAGATCTCGACCAAGCGTGCGATGACCTTCTGCCAGTCCAAGGGCGGGATTCCCTACTTCGAGACCAGTGCGAAGGAGGCTATCAACGTCGAGCAGGCTTTTGAAGGTTGGTTGCCTCTTGGCAAGGTGAACTCTTAGAGATGCTAACATCGCTCACCAGTCATAGCACGAAATGCCCTTGCTCAGGAGGAGTCGGAAGAGTTCAGCGGGGACTACCAGGATGTCATCAACATTCCCATTGAGAACCCCCGGGACGGCTGCGCCTGCTAAGCAGATTCTTGGTTGAGCAGACGGCCGACGTTGAGCGAGCAGAGCATCCGGGCGGAACACATTTATGGGACCCGTTGTACTCGCATTCATGTTTAGTCCGCGGCCCTTCACATATCCATCTTGGCCGTTGGTTTGATGTAGCATATCATGCACTGGTGTGAATGGTGTTTAGAGGTTTCTTTTTGAGTTTGAATTCACGGGATTATTCGTAGGATACCAAAGATTGCACAACTTGCCTTTAGTTGAAGTCGCATGACGTCTTGCCCAGTAATGACGTGCTGAGCCGACTCGGTGATTGATGCCGCAGTTTCGGACTACACGGACGGCCGACACCTTAGTTCAAGAGATTTTGTCCAAGAAACACCGGCCCGAGCTGACGGATCATGCTGCCGTTTCTCAGCAGACTCCGCTCAGAAGACTGGAGCCATCGCTGCGACTAAATGTAAAAGTTGGTGAGCCGGCACCAAATCCGACCTGGCGCCGGCTGCAGATTGCGCGGCGCCGTTCTTGGCTTTGTTCAGCGGCAGCAAGCCCGTCAGCCCAGCAACTCAGTAAGATGCCTGGTGTTTGGTAAACAGGCGTAAGAAAGTTGTTCGCAGGGCCATATTTGAAGTGAAGAACGCGGAGGGAGGCTGAGACGTAGTGGCACGCGATCGCCCTATCGTCTATTGGTCGCCGGTATTTGGGACGAATACAGGGGCTACTGTCCGTGCAGTTGAAACTCTCCAACCTTGAAGAAACAACCCTTTGAACAACAACTGACACGAATCCCTTAAAATAAACCCACGTCGTCGGATATTTGGACGACACGCGCGACCCCGACGGAGCTCGTCGGCTTACCTTGTGGACTCCAGTGTCGTACGCGGTCCAGCGACTTGTTTCCCCAAGCAACTGCCAACGTTGTCTACTTCGCCATTGGGGAGGACCCAAGACACACAAACCCGGAAGCAGTCAAGTCAACGGAACGGCATAATCGTGCCGACTGCATGCGCCGAGTCACCGACGACGGGACCAACGCCCGATATTGAACAAGCTTAATTCTGCGATTCACAATTCGATTTTGTCGTGGTCAAATGCCTGCGCCCCAGACCAGATTAGACTGCAAGACGGCCGACGATCCCTCCTGATCTCCTCCCTCTCTCCCTTACGATCGCGAAACCGCCCTTCCCCCGACCGACGAGATGGCGCCCAGCGAGCCTATGTTGCCCGCTGCGATAGCGCCCGATCATGCACGAGATACCCGGAGATCATTCTCCAGCGCGGACCGGATGAGCCAATCCGTCGCGTCTACGAATAGGTCGAGGTCGACAGTGCGGTCCTCGGGATTGCAGGCGAAATTGGGACTGGCAGGCGTTGCAAGACGGACGTTGGGTATTTCATTACTGTTGGTGACGGTGTTATTATGGACGATATCCAACTTTCTTGCATCGGTGAGGCTTCCTCTCCTCCCTTGCAATCTCTGGCGGTGAGCGTCTGGCTGACGGCTGACTTTTGACAGTACATCTTTTCGGACCATTCCTACGACAAACCCTTCTTCGTTGTGTATATGAACACTTCGGTCTTTGCCGTCTCCCTGGTACCCATGTTAGTCAAGTTCGTCATGCGGCACGGCATCGAGGGCCTGCGGCGCGAGGCAATGGTGGTATGGAACGAGCATAAACACGGCAAGGGAGGCCTTAAGGCGGAGGGAGACGAAGAGGACGCGGTGGCGGGCGAGCGGCTGCTGGTCGACGACGAGCCGAGCTTGGAGGCGGAAGGTTACGAGCCTAAGGTCGAGCGCATGAGCTTCCGGGAGACGGCCATCATCAGCCTCGAGTTCTGCATGCTGTGGTTCTTTGCGAACTACCTGGCATCCGCGTGCCTAGAGTACACGAGCGTAGGGAGCGTCACTATTCTGAACTCCACGAGCAGTGTCTGGACTCTCGTGTTCTGTGCGCTGATGCGGGTGGAGGGATTCACAATTCGCAAGTTCATTGGAGTGTTGGCGTCGTTGACGGGCATTGTCCTCATCTCGACCGTGGACCTCTCCGGCTCGAGTGACGAGAATCGCGGGTCATTCCCGCACAAGACGACGTCGCAGATTGCTGTTGGCGATTCCATGGCTTTTGTTAGTGCCATTATCTATGGCCTCTACGTCACGGTCATGAAGGTGAGGGTCGGTAATGAGGATAGGGTCAACATGCCGCTCTTCTTTGGCTTGGTGGGCCTATTCAACTTGGTGTTCCTGTGGCCGGTGTTCTTCATCCTGCACTTCACCGGCATGGAACCGGTACGTGCCCCTTCAAACCGAATATCTACGCAGTTCTGACAGTGTCACAGTTTCAACTTCCGCCGACAGGCAAAATCTGGGCCATTGTCATTGGCAACTCTCTGTCTTCCTTCATCAGCGACATGTCGTGGGCGTATGCCATGCTGCTCACTACGCCTTTGGTGGTGACGGTTGGTCTGTCTCTGACGATTCCTTTGTCGCTCATCGGCGAGATGATCCAGTACTCGCAATACTCCAGCTGGGTATACTGGGTTGGTGCGGCAGTCGTTCTCATCTCCTTCTTATTCATCAATCACGAGAGCAAAGAAGACGAGTCGGGTGATAAGGGCCCCCAGGCAGGATCCAGGGGGGCACAGTTATAGAAATATTTGTCAATGCTAATTAAGAGGCACGAGCAAGGCCGCCGTGTAGAGCCCTAGGCGGCACCACTATGCATAGACAAGGCGTTAGGCGGGCGTATGCCAGGATCAGGTTACCTCCTGGAACGCTGATACGAGCACGATACCAAGTATCTGCTCTTTTTGGTTGATAATTCAATTACTTTGCATCGCGTGTGTTCCATAAGGACTGTCTGTCAGGTGAGCTGGATCGAAAGTGAGCGGCACATCTAAGCAGCTTGGCACTCCCAGCTACACGCTTGTCTTGCTGCAATCCATCTTGGCATCCACTAGTACCACGCAGCGCGCAATCCAACGGAAGACTCGGGGGAGCTTCACACGATGAGCAGTGGGCATCTGCAAGTCGCGCAGCGGAGAGAACACGAGGAGCGCTTCGGGTCATTGGCTGCCCGAGGGCGAGCGAGATTATTGACACGCCAGTCGGCCCAGGAAGGAGAAGAGGGCACAGCCGAGGGCGGGACGGCCTGCATGAGACGGGATTTCTGGGAATTCCATGGTCCGGTTTTCCAAAAGACGATGTTTGCTCCTTTCGGGGTCCGATCGACAGGAAAGGAGCCGCGCAACCGGATTCGCCTCCCTTGGCCTGTGGTCCTCCGTGCTGGTGTTTTTTTTTTTCTGTCGTCAACTCCACCAAAGGCGAAGGTTTGCTGGGCTCCCCCCTGCGCTGATAGAGTTGCGGGAACGCTGAAAGTATGTTGAGTTTAAGCCTTTCGAGTGTTATTTACGTGGTAGCACGGTTGTAACAGGGGCAGACAGATCTGTGCTGGTGACGATGGAGAGTGCGCTGAAGGTCAGCGACCTTCTTGAGCACGGGCTTGAGAGGTTCCTTCTGGGGAAGTGCAGCTTGAAGATAGGTAGGTAGGACCGATCAGTGTGGACGATGCTGGGCAGAAGCAGTGGCTTGACAACCGTGGGTGATGGCCTGCCAAAAAGCCGATTGATGGGGGAGAGTCTTCCTTCTGCAGAGGGGGCGCTACTTTTAGGTGAGGTCTCGGGTCTCGTTTCTTCCTTGGGGCTGTCTCTCCCAGCTTCCAGGTTCTCTGGGCAAGCCACGCCACAGGGCCATTCTTTGCCTGCCGTGTCCAGCGTGTTTTGCTGTGTCTTCCAGTGCAGCGGCGCAGAGTCGCAGTGGCACAAAGTTCCAGAGAGGCCCAGGCCGATGGGAAAAAGTGGCCCTACGGGGCCAGACCGCGCACAATGGCACCTCTCAAGACCCCTGAACCTGAACTTGAACCTGAACATGTCGGGTCGGCCATCCGCTGTCGCTGTCACTTTCCAGGCCCCCCTCGCCATTCCCCCGCTCTCCTCTCTCAGTGTCCCCGTCCCCCTCTTCAAGGTTTCCCTGGGCGTGGATCCTCGTCAGTTTGCTCACTCATTCCACGCGCGCGCATGTTGTCGCCTCTTCCCAATTTTTTTTTCTTTTCTTTTCTGATCCTCAAGTCGTCGAATGGTCAGTGTGCGATCAGCAGTGAGTGATCGAGTTCGCCCCCCGAGCGGATCGGGGGCTCTCCAGAATGTGGCAGTGAAGTCGTTGGTCATGGACCCCGTCCCGTCTTTGGGAGCTGGTCTGAAGCGGGAGTGGCCCACGGGAGCTAAACTCTGGCCGTAAAGAAAGTCGACGAGACCTTTGTGGCTCCGTCAACTTGGGAATAGCACTTCTGCCAGACAAGAGAGACATGAGCGCACTTTTGTTCCTCGACAAGCCAGCACAAACAAACATCTGAATCACCTCGACCGAACTCGCTGGATATATTCTGCCCGCCCACGTCTGCTCCACGGTTTAGGCGCACAACTCAACGTGAGCGCAAGGTAGCCTCATGCTTCCTGCCATACCAGCGCTAGCTCCTTTTCCAACCCCGTTGGCCCTGTTCCTGTCCGGTTTCTTTTTGGGACACTATTTCTTTCCTCCCCTTGTCAAATACGCATGTGGAATATCCCGGTGTATTCCCCTGTAAACCCGGCGCAGAAACAGACGCCAGGCCGAGAGAGTCCTGGTCCCATCTCGCGCGCATCGCATCGGGCCCCGGGTGACCTTTCTCTACCTTAACCCCGGGAATCCAGAACCTCTCACTTTTGTTCTCTCTCTTGCTGCCTTCACTCTTTCCCTCACCCGTACTTTCTCCTGGCACCATCGCTGCCTCCTTTTCTCTGAGCTACCTACTTTCGTTCTTACTGGCCCGTCGGTCTCGAGCTTTTCCATGCCTTGGCGGGAGCGAACAAGACAAGAGGCAACCCGATCACTGGACCGCACCGTCTGCCAAGGATCGACGCTACGGCTGCCGCTCCCAGTTGGTTTCTCATCCACGTCTGTTCCCTTCGCTCCGTCTGTCTTGTTTTCTTGCATTACACCTCCAAGTCACCCAGAGCAGTAAGGAGCGGCGAGGACCAAGTCTTCTAGGACTACCATTGGCCTGCCTTTATCCAAAGCAAGCCACATCCTCTGTCGTTGAACCACCACAATACCAACCGCTCTCCTTCGATACCTACACCTCTTCGAAATCAAAACATTTGTTACTTTTCCTGGCAACAACCTGTCTTCCCGAGAAGATATTACCTGGCGTTGTCAGAGGACGACGTCGTACTTCTCGAGACCGATCTGCACACCTACAACCTACGCTACCAATCTGCAACCCACACGCTTCCTATAAGTTATCGTCCAACGCCGCAACTCCTCCACCGGGGGCTTTGTTGCAAAAAAAACGCCACGGCGACGCCGTGATTATGGCTCCAACATCAGCGCCGCCGGCCGAAGAAATCCAACGTCCCCTGGCCGAGTCCATCGCCGCCGCAACTCGCTCCGTCCACGCGAAGCTTAACAAGCTGATCATCGCCCGCCTCCCGCTGGCGATCCCTCCCCTTTCTGCCGACCCCTCCATCTACGTGTCTGGCCTCCTTCATATTGCACCTATCTACATCGCTTTCGAATCAGTATGGAAAGACATTGTGGATTCCGTTCCGGTAGAGTCACGAGATGGAAGCAACGTGCTCGACGACTTACTTCGTGTTCCCCACGACGAACCCGGGTCGATACATAATGTCAATGCCTCTAAAAACATGCGTTCGATATTAAAGTCGCTTTACTTGTCAGAGCTTATGCGTTCTGATCGGTTGCGCTCAGACATTGGCTTCCTGACTGGATGGTCCCCTGAGATGGTAGACGAACAACTGAAGACAGTCTCCGGCTCGGGGCGTCTCGCCGAGTTCACAAGGCATGCAAAGCGCACCATCGAGAAGAAGCCCCACACCGTGCTCTCGTACTCCTATATCCTGTTCATGGCACTATTCGCCGGTGGAAGGTTCATCAGGGCCACGCTCGAGTCTGCAGGCTCTGACTTTTGGGAGCAAGTGCCATCGCCGATTCCGCCTCTCGGAACGACTTGTCAACCACGGCAACCAAAAGAGATCGATCCACTTGGAGCCATTCCTACAAGACCTATTGATCTTTTGCGAGGCGAGCCTGGAACGCTGGAAATTGGGGCAAAGCATGCGCGGCACACGCTTCCACTGAGCTTCTTTCACTTCGCCACTGTTCTCGACGGGGAGGATCTCAAAAAGGAGTTTAAGAAACGCCTTGCAGAATCCGAGGCACAGTGTACGCCGCGGGAAAGGCACGACATCATTCAAGAGGCCATTTGCATCTTTGACAACATGCTGCTTCTCGTCAGCCAACTGGACAACGTGTGCGATACAAACTTGGATGATGTGGCTGGCATGGGTTCCTGGGCACCACTTGGCTCTGGTCACCGTCTGCGTGACAGCGTGGTGGTGGCCCGCGAGAGAAAAACGCAGGCATCTGAAAGAGAGTCGGGGGATGGCGAAAGGTCGAACACTTGGCTTTGCAAGCACGCAAGACAGCAAAAGTCCGAAATGGGAGAGATCTCTGGCGCAGGCAACTTGGAGGGCTACGCGCCAGCCGGTTGTCCAGCGTCTGGATCTATGAAGTTCGATGCGAAGCTACCGATCCCTGACAGGAAAGGCACCGGCAATACGCCCTCGACATACGGTGCGGCTACTTCACAACTGCCCATGGCCAAATCTTTAACCGGCTCACGTTCGTCTACGGCTCTATTTTCCAACATCGTTCTTGTGGCGGTACTAGCGACGATTGTGGGCATATATTTCTTTGCTACGAGACCTGTAGATAAGGGCTTACCGGTGGAGGGTGATGAGATGGCACTATGACGATGCATTGCATGACGAGCTTGGCGTTCAAGAGCGTTTTTATTCAGGATACCACATGGGATAGATATACGATACCCCCTAGTTGCTTTCTGGAGTTTTGGTCTGGCGGGTTTTCGTCAGACATGTGTGAACGGCAGGTGGGTAGAGCATATCCAGAAAGTCAGGCGCCAGATGAGCACCGGTGACGAATCAAGTATCCTCATAACCTACGTATTCGCGTAATCTGTAGAGCGTATACATCATCTCACACACGACTTCCAAGACACCGGGGTATTTGAAGAAGTCTCTTTCATTAGCCAGCAAGCACCCTAGGTGGACCAGTGGCCCAGCGGTCAGGACAAGCGCAATGCGCGGCGCCCTGGTGACTACGGTCCTCCCGTGGGAGCTTGAGGGTTCGAGTTGATCCTTTTGCCGTTCTCGTTTTCTGTAACACTTCTTTTTTTTTCCCTCTCGGGATCTTCTTCGTTTCTTTGAATTGGTGTCATAAACACGCCCCTATCTATCCCCAACAACAGCGACAGCGAGGACACCTTCCGTGAGAGATCTGCTTACTAGCCATCACGCACACCACCTCACAGTCAACCACAAGTTGTGATGACGTTGTCTCATTATAATTGCCAACGAGGCCACCAAGTCGTCTACCGAAGAAATAAAAGACAAACAGAACCAAAGGTATCTCTAGTGTATTCCTAATGCCAATGCCGATGCCAGTGCCAAACCTGCGGTGTCCTGAAATGCACCAAATAAAAAACGCATGCAGTGTGTGTACAAAAGCCAGAAAA